GGCAGAAAGCGTTTGTGCAAGTTGCCTCTGAGTGAAGGAAACCAGGGGATAAGGGTTCTAGGGTTTAGGGATTTAGGGTTTTAGGGATTTAGGGTTTTTGGGTTTAGGGTTTTTGGGTTTAGAGTTTTTGGGTTTAGGGTTTAGGGTTTTCAGGGTTAGGATTTATTGAAAGTGGGAAATGAAGGAATGGAAAAGAACGCTGAAACTGCCATTTAGGGTTGACTAGGAGAAAAGAAAATGGAACCTACTATTTAGGAATTAGGGTTTAAGGTTAGGGGTATTGGAACATACCACAGTGGAGACTTAAATAGAAAATGAAGTGGGAACTGGGGTCATTTAGCGATACTTATGGGGAAGTATAGGGGAATGGAGAAGAAAATGGAAACTATGATAATGTCCTTGGAGGTTGTATAGGGATTACGATTTAGAGTTTTAGGGTTTAGGGGTCAGGGTTTAGGGGGTTGTATAAGGGTTACTGTAAGGATCCATGCCTCCCTTCCCAGCCCACTTTCAGGCGCAGGCAGCAAATTTCTCGCCCGTCTTCTTGTCCTGACATGAGCCATAATCTAAACTCCTAGCATCCCCCGCTTTAACCCAAAAAATGGTCCCCTATATAACCCCTACATAATGACCCCTTTAAAGGGTTTAGACTCTAGCTCACATGGCCAGTGGAGCTGGATAACCCTAGAACCGCAAAACCGTAAACCTTAAACCCTACTACCCTAAAACACTAAGCCCAAAAGGCTAGTCCCAAACTCTAACCCTAGACCCTACACCCTGAATGGCTCAGACGCACATGCCTGGAATGATGCCACGCAGCCGTAGGCCCCCGAACCTCGGCCAGTGAAGGCTCCAACATGATTCGAGTTTGGGGTTTAATTTAGAGTTTTAGGATATTAGGGTTTACGGTTTTACGGTTTTACGGTTTTAGGGTTTAGGGTGTAGTGTGTTAGGGTTTATGGTTTTAGGGTTACTTTAGGCTTTGATGTTTACGGCTTCAGGAATTATGTTTGATGGCGGTGCTTCTCATGAGCAACATGCTTACTCTCTGCGGCGCAAATCCTCAAACACATCTCTGCTCGTCTGTTGCGCAACCGTTGTGGCACCACTCATAGGATTGCTATCAAAAAACCGAAAAACAATGCCAGCAATACCACTACCACTCACCATTCTTGTTGCTGCCACCAGGGGCTGAGTGCCCGACCAACCTTCTTCACAAGTTCGACATGTTCGGGAACCCGAAAGGTGACCTTGCCGTCCTGCCGTTGATGGTAGCAGCAACTTAAGGTCTGAGACCAGTTCTTGAGTTGGAGCTTAGGCTCGCAAGCTCCAGGTCAAACACCTATGCCAATACGACTCTAAATTACACGTAACAGTTGAGCAAGATATTTGCATGGTGGCAAAATGGGAACCAATAAAGCAATGCGGAAAGAATAGTTGCGGCGGTTTTTCTTCCACGTCTGGGTTCGCTGAGATTGCGGTTCGCAGTCGCAGGAGAATCTGTTCCCAGTCTGTCACACAAGAACCTGCCAGCTGATCCTGCAATCGCTCTCTCCATTCCACAAGGCCGCAGGAGCTGTCAGAAGTCCAGGGCAAACAGTTCCGTCCAAACACAGGACCGCTCCGCCTTTCGCTCTGCATAAATCGGTAGCCCTCGAAGTAGAGAAAGCGTACGGGCAAACCAGGAATCGTACTCAACACATCAAATGTCACGTGCTCCAGCCAGCCCCGGTACACCGCAACAGCAGCAGCCATGTAGACGCAGCAATCCTGCTCAGACAGTGAGCTCTCTCCTGAAATCCGTACCACGACATAGGTTCGGCCATGCAGGGCGAGTCGCTGCACCATCTTCATCTCCTCAATGCTTCGGAGCGCATCATCTCCAGTGAGCAGAATCTTTATCCCATGGATGGCTTCCTTGAGCCTCGACTTCTCTCAGAAGCTAGATACTTAGTCTGTTTAGGAGCCCATTCCAAAAAAACGGAACCCAAAATTCTCAACAGTGGCCACAACAGCACCCAACAGCTTTCAAGCAGCCTTTTGAAAGTCGACCTCAGTGCCTCGAAGTCGTCCATGCCGGCCTCAATGCCTGGATGTGTAACAACACACACCATTGTACAGGGTTCTGTGTCAGGTCTGGGAGATTAACGAACGTTAGCTAGCAGGGCATCTCTAGTTGGGGAACCTTTTTGGGGAATCCTCCGAGCAAAGATCCTGCCTGAGGGGGAGCAATTCCTTGAAAGGGGGGCCTTGAATTGGGACAATTTGGACACGTGCCTGCAACGGCATGCATGTCCAGGAGGTAAGCAAAGTGCCTCTGCGCTGCATCGCCGCGCAAATCAACAAGCTGCGACTTTTTGATTTGTACGGCCGCATGCAGTATCGTTGATGGCACGTCTTTCAGTCTTGCTCGCACCTGTTCGGTCAGCGCCTCTCCAGCCAGTCCACAGGCAAAGGTAGCAAGCACCACTCCTCCGACAGTTGGGCAGGAAAGGTCCTCTCCAAGCATTTGAACATCACCCTCGGAGGCCAGGGCCTCCCTCCAGCTTGGTCTTTCATCAGTCAGGCTGCCCCACAAGAAGGCATGAGTCTGAAATGTGCGAGCTGCCGCTGCAGTTGACATGGATGCAAAGCCCAAGGAGTCAGCCTCCGACATCCTCTTAAGGCACACAGTGGAGCTGCGAAGATGGGCAAAAAGCTTGTTGCGGCTGTCGAAGCCCGCATGGCACCAGTGGCACAGTATGCTGGGATCAAGCTGCAGGCCTCTCTTCTCATCTCGATATCCTGAGCTGCTGTCAAGGGATCTAAATTAGGTTCTCATAATGGGTATATAAAGTAATTAATATGGTTTCCCAGCATAGTAAGTTAAATTTAAGTTCCTTAACAGGGGCCCAGTATCCACTGGGCACATACTGATCCAGATCATCTCTTTCGCAGCAAACCTCACCTCTACCCAACACCGTCCGAGTGAACACCTCGTTCTTCCCTGGATCTGCGAAGAATGCCTTAAAGGGATCCTTCTGTATTATTCCAGGCAAGTGGATCTCATACATCTCAGACCCAGTCTTGCCAGGCTTAGACTCACCTCTCTGACCTGAAGGCACTGCAACAACTTGCGGCACATGCTCTGCCGAAGATGCCGACCTGATGCAAAGTACAACGCCCACTAATTTGAAGTCCTTGGCACCAAAATCCAGCAGTGCGTCATGCAGCTTGCAAAGCTCCGCTGCCGCAAAGCTTGCAAAGCTTGTTTTGTCTCCCAGCTTCTCCGAACCTTGCGCTGCGTTCGCCGGCGAAGCTTCCCTCAAAGTCTGCAAACTTTCCTGGCCGATACGTTGAAGGACCCCAAAATCACTTCTGCATAGGTCCGCTTTGCAATAAGGATACTTATGCGAAAGTCATCATTATTCCAAAAACACTGACTAGTTTCGTAGGAATCCAGCAGACAGCAAGCAACGAAAAGCTTGCGTCCAGGAGATCGCGCAGCCTGGCGAAACCTGGGGCGTGCTGAACAGCCTGTTGTTCCTAATGTTTTCCTGCTGCTGGTAAAATTACGCTTTGACACTTACAACAGTGCTCGCGGGAAAATGTATTTCCTCCTTAAACCGTCCGCACAATATTGCAAGACCTGCATGGCTGATGCATGGCTGAATCTGTTGGGCCACATGCCCGCCTCTGCACGCAACGATGGAGGTACTCATGGTCCTGTCCAAGTCACAGGTCCTTGTTTATGGGGTTTTCCTGTTCAAGACCCTATCATGCACAAATACCATTCTTGGGTGGAACTTGTCATCTCATCGGGTTTGCCCACATCCATGGACAAGCGGCCGCTGCCTCTAAAGCCCGGCCTGAAATGGCAGTCTTGCACCATCTCCTGAATGACTTTCTGCAAACTTCGAGCCATGATGGCTGGATTATGTTTTTCTTCTCGCAGTGCATAAGAAGCACAATGTCACCTGCTAGGGTCCCAGCCTGGAACCCTACATTACTAAAACACTAAAAGCCAGACTCCTAAAACCCTAAGCACAAAGCCCCCACAACCCCTAAAACTCAAAATCCCGAACCCACCTGTCGCTTCCGCGATGGGTCGTGGTGTATAAACGTGAAGCCAGACCAACGGCCGGGAAGGCGCAAGTCTGAGTAGCGCGCCTCGCTGGCGGGTAGTAAATGGCAACAACTACTACGTTAGTCACATTCTATTAGGGTTATATTGGGGTTATACAGGGCTGATGGAAAAGAAAATGGAAACTACTATTTTGGGTTTAGAGTTTAGGGTTATAGTCCCCCTTAAGTAGATAGAATATAGGGTATATGGGGATCTTAGTATAATATACCCAGTTTAGGGTATTGAACGGAGAAATGCATCCCTGTAGTCCCCTCGTCATAGCAGCCCCTAAATGAGCCATAGTCTAAACTCCCAGCATCTCTCCCTTGATAACCCCTATAATACTCATCTATATCATCCCCTATATGACCCCCTTCCTTAGACTACAGCTCATATAACCCCTAAACCCTAAACCCTAAACCCTAAACCAATATACTCTAAATATTGAATGCCCTTATGCCCTGCTAACCAGCAGCGAGGTGCGTGGCCCGCGCCGGCACCTGCGAAGGGGGTCAGGAACTAGAAGGCTTTTGGGTTAGGGTTAGGGTTTAGGGTTTAGGGTTTAGGATCAGGGATTTCGGGCGTTTGGGCTCCAGGGATGAGGTTAGGATGCCACTTGGAGGCTCATGGGACTTAGTAACTACTTATAACTGGGATTATAACCCTACTCATAATTGGGGTAACCCCATGAGCCCATTTGGGGGGATTATAAGTGGGGTTATAAGCCAGTTATACGTAGTTACCAAGTCCCATGGGCCTCCAAGCAGGGGTGCTTAAGCTTCATGGATTTAAACAGTGGCTTAGAGTTTGTTTCCGGGGCTGAAGATTCCACACCAAGAGCACGTCCCCGTATTCCCGGCACAATCCGATGTTGGGCATCTGCTCTGTTCCTGAACCCCAACCAGCAAAATCCTGATATTAAAACTTGAACCCTGAACTCCGAACCCCAAACGCTAAACCCGAACCCCCCGAACCCTAAACCATTAACCCTGAAAACTACAGCTTCAGCCTCAGCTTAGCAAGGAGCTGCAAGGGGGATGGGCCACACCCATTTTCACATTCAAGATAGGGTTTAGGGCTTAGGGATAAGGGTTTAGGGTTTAGGGATTAGGGTTTAGGGTTTGGGGATTTGGGTTTAGGGTTTAGGGTTTAGGGAGTAGGGTTTGGTGTTGGATATTGGGGGAAAAACCGCATCGCTGGTTTTCTGACTGCTGTGGAGGGTATCAGTGTTCTTTCTACTCACATGATCGATCTCATTGATAAACTACTGTTCTTACTATCAATACGATACTTCTTGCAACATCATCTTACTAACAGTTGCCATACCACTATTATCATGACTACTAGTTTCGCTTCTGAGCACTATGACGCGCGACCATTGTCTTGGCGCCTCGCTTCCCGAAGGGCCGGTATTCTCGGGGATCCAGAAAGCTACGAAAGTCGTCTTGCAGGCAGTCTGCCACCATAACAGGAGATGAAAACACCCAGTCGAATGGCATTGCAGACCTGCACAATGGCAAGCGATGGACGCACACCTAAAATATATAGGCCAGCTTACGCGCATAAAAAACTATAATAAATGGAAGAAAGTAATTGATTCGCTGGATTACTTGACATCCCCTGATCTTACCATGCAAAATGTGTGCAGCGAAGGTGCTGTCTCCAGCCGTTGTGTTGAAGCCACATAGCCTTGGCTGCTTTAAACCCCTCCTTGAAAATAATTTTTCACCTTCCCAAGTATATAGCTGTATGGTGATTTCCATAAATATTTCCATAAATGAGGGAACCCCAATATAGACCCCAGAATACCTCAGTCCTCATTAATGGTGTTCCCAAAAAAACCCTAATTTGGGCCAAACCCCACATGCAGTAGGAACCCCGAATCATCCCTAAACCCTAAACCCTAAACCCACAAACCAAGAAGCCGTCAGGCAGTTGGAGCCCAAGGAGATCACTCGGACAAAGCAATCTCTTTCAGTAGGCCTGAGGACGCACTCTAATTACTATCAGTACTAGTATTACTATCATTAGGAGCTTCGACTTGTTAAGTCGGACTCTTTGTATGGTTTGGGGATTTAGGGTTGAGGGGTTAAAGGTTTAGGGTTGAAAGGACAACTATCTGGCGGTTAGCTGAACCAAATGAGGTTGTAATCTTCACATGAAGCACAAGGATTAGGCGTGTATTCGCAATACCGGAATACCACATCAAAAGTAATGGTGATAACTTCACAAACCTTTGGTCGAAAAGACAGAGCGTGCATCCTCCGCTAAGTGCTGATGAGATTCTGCACACCAGACATGGAGCAAGCCATCTCCATGGCAATCTACTACGAACACCTGATCCCCTACCATCTGTCTTTCTTTGAGCAATGTCCTGGCCACAGGTCACATCTGGACTGCCTTCCCCGGCCGCCACACACACGGCAAAGTCCTGCTTGCCGTCGACTACAACTTCTTGCAGGGTATAGATTGGCATGACTCCTCAGCAAGCAAAGGGAGTAGCACCAGAGCGAATGACAAGGAAGTACAGAGCAAAAAAGGGACTCTATTTATATATATATATATGTATATATATATATACATATTTGTATATATGTATATGTATACATAGATATATATGTATATAGATATATATATATATAGATATATACACATGTATCCCTGCTATGTACTCTCTGTATAGCCCTATATTTCCCTGTACAATCCCAATATAAACCCAACATTACTCTACATATCCCTATATAACTCCTGTATGACCCTACACCCTACTATATATGTGTGTATATATATAGATTCCTTTAGCATATATATATATATGTATATTCCTTTAGTACATATTTATATATATATACATATTTTTATTCCTTTAGAACCCCTGTATGCCAGGTGCGCTGCAATTAGCATTGCTGACAACTTCACGGGCTCGCCACATCCTAGAGCTGCGGAGATCCAGCAACTGAGACGCGGTCTAAGGTTATAGTCCCCCTTAAGTAGATAGAATATGGGGTGAATGGGGATTTTTATTATAATATACCCAAAGCCATATTCTATCTACTTCAGAGGGACTATAGAGTTTACGGTAGGAGCAGTTCCACTCTGCGAAGAGTCAACCCTGCACCACCCTAGATACCTTCTGCCATTGAACTAGTCGAATTTTCCTCATGTCATGTAGCTACGGGGCACGGGTCCTTATTAGGGAATATATTGGGGACCATCTAAACTACAGAAAGACCCTTATGTGGTCCCTACAGCAGAGTCTTTTTGGATTTGAAGTGGTGCAAGGCTTCCCTAAACCCTGAACCCTAAACCTGGTGAGTTTTGCAAAGGCGGGCACCGCAGGATGAGGAGACCACATAGAGCTCTAAGAGCTTTGACAACCCAAAATGTCTTGCCTGAAGATTGTCTACACTGCGATTACCTCAGCAACTATTTCTGCCATCAGAGAACCCACCCTAAACCCTAAACCTCAAAGCTAAGCTGACGTTCATGAAATGACCTGCACACTTGCAACTTGAGAGCCGCTAAAGGCTAGAGCTGCGGAGAAAGGGTTCAGAGTGAAAAGAGGTTGTGCTTAGGGGTATAGGTTGGGTTGGGCCCCCACCCACTAATAGTGGTATACTAGGAAAATATAAGGACCTTAATATAATTACCATTACTTCTTGTGGTCACTATTAGTGGGTGGGAGCCCAACCTAAGGTATAGGGTTTAGGGCTTGGGCCGGCTTGGGGTTTACATACTGGTTGTTGGTAGGGAATAAGGGAATATGATCCCTAGAAATCCTCGTGCAATATGTTCCCTCATTCCCTACTAACCCCCAGTAAGTATGGGGTTGAGTGTTTAGGGCATGTAGGGGTCCATCCATGTCACATGTACCTGTCAAAATACGAGGGTTTTTGCTGCGGGAGCTACAAGTAAGAACTCCCCCAAAACCCTAAACCCTGTAGTTCC